AGGGCGCCCGCAAGATGGAGAGGACGGAGATGATGTACACCATTAACTCCCAGCTGGAATTCAAAATCAAGGTAGGATGAGGAGCATGATCCTGACCAGCCAGGACAGTGAACAGGGGAGCATCACCAGCATGGTCATATCCCACAGTGATTCTGGAAAAATGAACTGTTGTGGCATGACAGAAATTAAAACTTTTGGTCAAATATTTTAATTTTATTAGAAGGTGATGCTACAGCACAAGGGATTTTGATTAAATACTGAGTGTACAGTATTCTTTGCTGTCAAGGTAATGCTGCTGTGAAGATTTTGGCATTAAGAGAGAGGCCAAAGGCTGCTGCTCACTCTCAGATTTGCTTATGTACCTGATGGGAAAGGTGTGCCTGCGAAAGCACTTCCAGGCCAGGGAGGGATCCAGGGGTGTTTGTCCTTCCCCTCAAGGGTGGGATATCACAGGTTTCTATGAAACACTTCCTGTACTATCAGTCTTTTGTAGGAAACACCAGCAGACCCAGTCATAGGTAGGGGAGGTTTATTAGACTTTGTTTGAGTACATTTATTGTTTCTATTCAATGTTTGCTGCAATCCCATTTCTGTAATTCATGTCTGATACCATTACACAATGGGGATTCTTCTGGGAGAAGATTGTTTCATTGTCAGGCATGTAGTGAGTGGAGATTGGTTCATGGTTTTAAAAGCACAGCTCTTGAAAGGCCCTGGGTCAGGCCTGGGGCAAATGCTGCCTCCAAAAAGACATTTTCAACTTGCCTAAAGTATTTTTATTCTCAAATTTTGTCTAAAAATTGATAGTAATAATATTTGCTTATAGCAACAGCAGCAACAAACACAACACTTCTGGGCAAGTGACACCAGAGCATTTCCTGATGGGTGGTACCAGACTCAAATCTTGATGAGTCCAGCGCAGTGTGGGGGCTGAGCTGCTCCCTGGTTCCCTCAGATCCCAGGAGTCCCTCGGGGTCTGGGGTCCCTCTGTCCCTGCCCATCCCTCTCTGTCCCTGTCCATCCCTCTCTGTCCCTGTCCATCCCTCTCTGTCCATCCCTCTCTGTCCCTGTCCATCCCTCTCTGTCCTCTCCATCCCTCTCTGTCCTCTCCATCCCTCTCTGTCCCTGTCCATCCCTCTCTGTCCCTGTCCATCCCTCTCTGTCCCTGTCCATCCCTCTCTGTCCCTGTCCATCCCTCTCTGTCCCTGTCCATCCCTCTCTGTCCTGCCCATCCCTCTCTGTCCCTCGGGCTCTGTGGCTCCTGGGTGACCCCACCTGCCCTGGGGCTTTGTCTTTCCCTGATTTTGTGTGAGATTTCCCATTTTGCATCCAAGCCCCAGCCCTGCAGCCCCTCAGGCCCCAGAGCAGGGGAGCCCAGCTCTGGTTCAAGGCATTTTTCACTTCTGAGAGCCTCTTTTCTGCAGCAGGGCCATGGTGCACATGATTTGCTCCTTTGGCAATTCAGGAAAACTTAAACCAAGCTGTTTCTGGAAGAGAGTCAATTAGAAAAATGGGATGAACTCATTTGTAGTACAGATTGGAGGAATTTTTTGTTCATCCTCAAATAGAACTTTTAAAAGTATTTTTTGGTTGTAAACCAATCATCATGGGACTGTAATTCTGTTTTATAGTCATTATAAATTAGTTAAAGTATTTCTGTTCTTGCCCAGTCTCACAGAGTTTTGGAGATTTGTTTATTATTTAGTTGGATGTAACTGTGGAGAGCTTCATGGGAACCAAGGGAAGTGACTCAAACCTCCTGGTGCTTGTGTACATGGCTCAACTGTGGAATTCAATTTTTAATTAAGTTGCAGCAGTTTTTGTTCTTTAAATTTTGCATCTTTTGCACGAGAGAAGCTGTGGGGGTTTGTTTTAGGGAGTCAGTGTTTGTTCTTCCAGCAGTGAGGTCTCAGTCCCAGCACTGGGTTTGGGTTTGGCTCAGCAGGTACAGGCAGGCTGCAGTCGGCTTGGCCAGGGATTAACAGAGACAAAAAGCCAACTCATGCAGAATGGGGAGGCAGCTGACAAACTGCATGAAGGGATGTTGTTTAAAGTGTGTGAAAGGTGCTTAAAGGAGGGAAAACAGGCAGTTGTGTTCATCACCTTGGTGTGCCTGGAGTGTCTGTCTGGGGGCAGCCTCGCAGGGTCTGTGTGACGGCTCAGTCCCACATCTCCCTCCCTCCCTCCCTCCACCTTCCTGGCCCAGAGGGACAAAAGGGCCTCCTGCAGGCTCTGTGTCTTCTGCAGCTGGGGATAATTTGGATTAATGAAGGCAAGACTTCACATCAGGCAGCTCAGGTCCTCTGCTGCAGCTGCTGCAGGTGTTGGCCCTCACCTGGGGGGAAAGGGAGCTCCTGCCCCATCCATGAGCTGGATAAAGACAGGAGCTGTAGGATCCCTCATCGGCATTTTCACTAAAGCCTGACAGGCAGCTGGGCCACTTCAGGAGCACAGCAGGGCCATGGGAGCCTTCCCTTGGTGCTGCCAAGGAGAGCAGGCAGAGGTGGGGAGGGAAGGAGGCTGTGCCTGCACTCCCAGAACAGGAGGGTTTGTACACCCTGCTGCCCATGTCAGGATTTGTGCACCCTGCCCGCCTGTCGGGATTTGTACACCCTGCCCGCCTGTCGGGATTTGTACACCCTGCCACCCATCCAGGCGCTGCTCTCACCCTGCAGACACTGCCGAGGTCAGGCTTTGCTCGGTGCCCTCAGGAGCTCTCACAGCCTGTTGCAGCCCCATGGGAGCAGTCAGGTCTGTTCATTTCTCTTTTCCATGAGCAGCAATGACAGGTGCCCCGTGATTCCCAGGTATTTGCAGCTGCTACCTGTGTGTTGTAGCAACGATGCAGTCCCTTGAACTTTGGTAACCTCTTTGTGTTTGTAATCTCTGAGCTTTGAGTTTATTCAAGCATTTTTCCCAAATAGATTGTACTCTGTCATCTGTTTTTTAAAAATTATTTAATTTGGAAGGATTACAATGTGATTTTCTTGCCTTGCAGCCGTTTCCATTGGTTTCCTCTTCTCGGTGGTTGGTGAAAAGGGGTGAATTAACAGCATATGTAGAAGACACTGGACTTTTTTCCAAAAGAACCTCTAAGCAGCAGGTGTACTTCTTCCTCTTCAATGATGTCCTCATCATCACCAAGAAGAAGAGGTAAGAGCTTCCCCAGTATAAAACTGGTTTTGTGTTCAGTTCTCAAATCACAGTGACTTTTAATGTGATCCTGGCTGTGGAATGAGTTCAGGAGTTATTTGAGCCTCTGCCATGGGTTACCAATAACAAGTAACTGCTTGTTAAACAGGATTTACTTTTGGCAAACACAGTTAAGATTCCAAATTGTCAGAGGAATTAAAAAGATGATTCTTTATGCCCTAGCAAAGACAGGTTTGGGAAGGATGAAGTGTTGGGACTGTCCTTGCCCTGCACACTTGCCAGGACTGCAGGAGCATGAGGCTCCCCCTGATTTCATTAGCAGTGATGGAGCTCGGGGTGAGCCCTGCTCCCACCCACAGCGTTGCCATGGATCCACAGCATGGACAGAAATGTTTGTTGGACTTGGGGCTGAATGTTTGTGGTTTTCCTTCAGCAGCTGAATCGCAGAAGATCCTTAACATTGCACCAAGACACCTCTCCTCACTTGGAGCTAAAAATGGGCATTTCTGAGGCTGCACTCAGGGCTTTACCAGAGTTCATCTCCAGCCCTGGCTCTGCCCTGGCTCCATTGCTGAGCTGTGCCTCTGAGCTGCTGGAGATGCTGCAGAGGAGCAGCCCAAGGGCTCTCCAGTAACAGGGCTGCTCCCCAAGGCTGGGCAGGAGGGGACACAGGGATTTGGCATGTGTGCAAGGCTTTGAAGAGGGATAAAAATCTGCTTTTCCCCACTGTCCAGATTTTAGTTTATTGGGAATGTTTCTTCTGCCAGCTGTCTGTGTAGCCCCTGCTGTGTGTAGATACAATCTGATTTTTTTTTTAATCATTAAAATGCCATAATTCTTGCTAAGCACTGATGCAGTGTCCTGAGAGGAGCAGTCAGTGGCAGCAGGTGTGGGGATGCTGGATCCTGAGGAGAGGGTCAGCCCAGTCCTGCTCACACAGACCTGGCTGTGGGCTGGGGAAGGGCCTGCTGAAATCAGTGCAGAATTCACCCTGAGGGCTCGTGGGAAATGCACTTGCTGCTTCTCCTTGTGCTTGGATCCCTGCAGCAGCAGTCTGATCCAGCGGATTTGTGGGATGGAAGTGAGGAGTGGGAAGGATTTGTAGAGGTTTATCTGCTGATTAATTAGTAAGAGGTTCTGTTATGATTAGCTGTGCACATGTACAGACTAGTTGATTAATTCATAAGAAATGCATTTATTATTCATTGCATAAATGCATAGACACATTTCTTTTTCAGACACAAGATTCCCATGTAGTGATGGCAGCACTCCCAGCTGGGATTGCCGGTTCTTCCCTTGGCTAAGGAGTTATTTAGACTAAAATACTGAACTGACTTCTTTAAAAAAAAAAATGCACCTCCAAAAATCCCCAAACTTACCCTAAAAAACCAAGCCCAAATCAATCCTTTCCCTGATTCAGAGCATCTGGATTGGTTCCATGAGAAGCATGTTGTGTGTCCATCATTTGGGAGTGCACAAAGTCATTCTGCAGAAAGAACCCTGTCAGTGTTTATTTCCCAGAACCCCGGTGAAAATGTCTGAAAAAGTGCCCTGGGAGCTCGGCTGGGGCTTTGTGTTGCACAGAGCTCTGGCAGAAGCTGCTCCCCCCTGTGTGGGGCCGGGAGGAGCTGGAGGAGCCGTCCCCTCCGCGGTGCTGTGGCTGGGGCTGCTTGCAGGCGGACGGAGCGGGGATCCGAGCCCTGACCCGGTTCTGTTCCCTGCCTGCCCGCAGTGAGGAGAGCTACAACGTGACCGGGTACTCGCTGCGGGAGCAGCTGCTGGTGCTGCCCTGCGACGGGGACGAGCCCGGGCCCGGCTCCTCTCCGGGCCGGAGTGCCCCGGGGATGCTGCACCCGGGCAGGAGCGCGGCCTCCCACCTCTTCAGGCTCCTGCTGCTCAGCAACCACGCCGGGGACAGGGTGGAGATGCTCCTGGGAGCAGACACGCAGTGAGTACCGCTGCTGAGGCATTTCTGCACCTGACTGTGTCCGCGGGCGGCTCCTCCCGCCCTGCCCACAGTAGTACTCGTTTATTTATTTATTTATTTCTATTGCTTCTTCTGGTTTATTAATTGAAGCTGCTGTGCAAGGCCTCGATTACCCTGGCTGCAGAGAGGAGTGTAGCTGTGCCTCGGGCAGGTTCCTGTTCCCTGTGCTGGGTGCCTCACCCGAGGGTCGGTGCTGCCAGGTGCTGTCATCGCGGGGCTGTGGCACAGGAGTGTCCCGGGCACAGCCAGAGCGCTCTGGGCCCTGAGCAGGCGCTGGGATGTGCTGATGGCTGGAGGGAGCAGCAGGGCTGGGGCAGGAGCAGCTCTGCTCCTCTCTCTGGGGCACCCTGAGGAGTGCCCTGCCTTAGAAACCTGTGCCTGCCCTGGGATGTGTGTGTGCCATAGGAGTGCCCTGCCTTAGAAACCTGTGCGTGTGCCATAGGAGTGCCCTGCCTTAGAGAGCAGCAGCACCCAGTGCCTGCTCTGGGATGTAGCTGTGCCATCAGCTTCCTCACGGCCTCCCAGCACTAAAAGAGTTCACTTGTTCTGGGGGAAGCTGGAGGCAGGACAGAGACATGAAAGGGAGTGCTCCAGACATGTCCCTGCCTGGAAAAATCGATAGTTTTAGGTTGGCTTTGAAAGTTTAGAATAACCATGAAAGGAACTGAAGATCATCAGTGCTTTCTATTAAAGATCTCATTATGAAAGCAGGAGATGATTCAGACTTGTTTGGAAATGCAATTTTATTGGGGAAAAAATGCAGGACATTTTTAGTTGTCTGGGCTTTGTATGAAAAGACATTTTGTTCTGCAGACTTATTATTGATTTCTTCTGTGCTGTTTGCAGTATAAATAGCAGTCCAGCTGATCATCTCTCAGAGCAAGAGTCTGAAAAGAATTCCTGTATTTTAAGTTACCTATTTTTATAGTCTTATCTTTTTAGAAGGATAGGAGGGGAATTTCCAAGGCCAAACAGTTCAGAATAGTTTTGTGCAGGTAAAACTGAAATGTTTTCTCTGAGCCAAAGACTTCCAGCACAGTTTGATCGTGTTTCATCACCTCCTGTGGCATTGGGTCCTAAGGAGAAAAGCACCAGTGTTAGGTGAGAACTTTCTATGGCCCTGGGAGGAAGGCAGAGCATACACAGAGGTGCTGGGTTACTCACAGGGGCTGAAGGGAGAGATGGAGGCACTGGAAGAAGCAGGGGCAGCCTCAGAGCTGAGCATTCTCCAGGACATGAGCTGGTTGTGCTTTGCAGGAGCGACAGAGCCCGCTGGATCACGGCGCTGGGCCAGGACAGCGACAGGCAGCACACGGACAGGACCAGTGAGTGACAATGCTGGGGCTCCCGGGTGCTCTGCAGGGCACTGCCCTCACTGGGGCTGGCTGGGCTGCCCTAAGCCATGGGGGAAGGTGTGGAGTGGAAATGTGTTAAATAAATGGTGATGTGTTGTAGTAAAAGCCCTGTGACTGGTTTAACTGAGCCTGGCTCTCTCCTTCCCCAGCCCTGGCTCAGGTGGAGACCATCAGGACGTACACAGCCAAGCAGGCCGATGAGCTCTCTCTCCAAGTCGCTGATGTGGTTTTGGTTTATCAAAAAGTGAATGATGGTGAGTGAGGATTTTGTGTCAGTAACCATTTGTCACCTCTGCAGGGGGATCCAGCTACAAAAACGTGTCTCCTAGTAGCACAGGGCTGCAGTGAGTAAAAGTTCAACTTCCAAGGAAAACGTGAGCATTTGGGTTCAGGTTTCTAAAGGAAGCAGCAGCTGTAACCAGCTGTAGAACATGGCTGCTGGCCAGTATTGGCATGGGAGGTGTCCACAAACAGGAAATTGAATTAGTCTAAAACCACAGAGCTCAGACATTCTGGTGAGTGCCAGGGTTGTCCAAGAGAAACAGCCCCAGTGTGTCGTGCCATGGCCTGGGCTCTCCTGCTGCAGCTCTGGCACGGGGTGCTTGCTGAGGTTTGACACAGGATCGAGTGTCCCAAGATCTCTGTGGTTCTTGCCCAGACCTGCCCACAACGGCATTGATAGCACCAAGTGCTGCCCAAGTCAGTCCTTGAGGGACTAAATTCTCACTTGCTGTTTCTCAGTTACCTGTGAAATTGGAGATTCTGTCACTGTACTGTAGCATTACTTCAAACTATATTTGAATGACAAAAAAGACAGTGAAATTGTGCAATGCTTTGCACATACTATTTTTTACCTGGTCTGGCTGGATTACAAACACCTGCCAAAGCTCTCCTGACCTGGTGCACGATCCCCAGTCAAGGCAGATGCAGAATACCCCTCAGTGCCCCAGGGCAGGGCAGGGTCGGTGCAGAGGGGTCACTGCTGTCCCTCCCCGCAGGCTGGTACGAGGGGGAGCGGCTGCGGGACGGCCAGAGGGGCTGGTTCCCCTCGGAGTGTGCCAAGGAGATCACCTGCAGGGCCACCCTGGACAAGAACATGGAGCGCATGGGGCGCCTGCTGGGGCTGGAAACCAACGTGTAGCCGTGTCCTCAGCCCAGCTGGGGCTGCTCTGGGACAGGGGGCAGCAGGGCCACAGCCCAGCAGCACTGACACTGGGGAGCCCTGCTCTGACAGCTCAGGGCTGAGCCCGGCCCCAGCAGCAGTGACTGGGCACTCCTGCAGCTCCTGCCTCGCTGCCTCCTTGTGCTCCTGCTCCTTCTGCTTTGGAGCAGCTGAAGTTGTTTTCAGCAGTGCTGGCTGTCCTGCAGCCCCAGGCCCTGTGTCACGGGCCACTTGCCTTTGTGTCAGCAGCCGTGTGCTCCCTGAGCTCCAGTGCCCAGCTCTGGCCTCTCTAAAGGCTGACCTACCTCTCCAGGGCAAGTCCAGGGCTGGCCCTGGCCTGGCACAGGCACAGCTGGCACCACCTTGTGGGGACTCTGCAGCTGCTCCTGCGTGGGGCTGCACAGACTGCTCCAGGTTCTGCTGTGGGCAGAGGATTTCTGCAAGCTGGATAAAGGCACCACCCTCTGCAGAGCAGGTGCTGCTGCTCCCTCCCAGCACAGGGATTTTGCTGCAGAGTAACAGGTATTTGGTGCTGGCAGTGGGGCAGTTGTTTATGGCTTCCTCAGCTGTCCACTGAGGTCTTGCATCACTCAGTGCTGCAGAACAGGGGTGATGAGAACGTGAACTGCACTCCCTGCTCTGGGAACAAATGCACTCGTGGTGAGCAGAGTTCAGGGCAGGTGGCTGCAGAGAGGGGGGAGAGTGGATGAGAAAAACCCTCTGTGTTAAGGACCAGCTGCTGACTCAGCAGTGTAGAAACGAGGGGACAACTTGTACTACCAAGGCTTTCTTCTGTTGCCTTCCCCAGCCTCTGCTGGTTTTTATGTAAGATGCTGATTTCAGTGGTGAGTGAACTGTTTGTAAAGATGTGTAGCTCTAATAATTTAAACTACATTAGGAAGGCAGTAATTTTGTACAAAAATACTTACCTGACCAGTGTGACAGTGGTTATACAGCCTTGCAAATTAATTTATAAGTGGACTGATAGAATAGTAATGAGAGAAACTGTAAATTGAACAAAGACTTATTTAACATAGTAAAAACACTGCTACTGTTTTAACAAATTTCACTGTATACATGTGGATGTTTAACACATAACTGAATGTATAAATCCAGGCATTAATTTTATTCAGATTTTTTTTTAATGCACTGTATATATTTTTCATACCTAGTTTTTCAAAAAATGCTGTAATGTTTTGTAAAGACATTTTTCATTTTTCCTATTGTTGGACACAGTTCTTCAGGAATTAAAAGAATTCTATGATTTTATAGGACAACAATCAATAAAGTGCTTTTAAATCCTTACTAAAAAAAGTTTTGATTTTGTTTTAAATGCCATAAAGCCACCAGTTGACAATGTCATTTTTGTCAGAGAAAGTAAATCTCTTCAGTAAACACTGGCATTTTACATTTTCCTGTTCTGTAACGATAAATAGCACGATCTTGTGTCCTACCTCATGTCATAGATCCCATTTACCTGTTGGACTTGGAGCAATGGCCTGGGACAGCATCTCTTTGCTGAGGCACCATTAAGGGGGACATGGGAAAAGTCTTCAGTTCCCTCTGCTGCTTGGGGTCCAACCTGGTGTGGTGATCCCCCAGAGAATGCACCAGGGCTGCCTCCTCCCTCCCTGCCGCCACCGGGGCTCTTCTGCCCTTCCTCAGCCTCCCTCCTCTCTCTCCCCTTCCTCAGGCTCCCTCCTCTCTCCTCCCTTCCTCAGGCTCCCTCCTCTCTTCTGCCCTTCCTCAGCCTCCCTCCTCTCTTCTGCCCTTCCTCAGCCTCCCTCCTCTCTCTCCCCTTCCTCAGCCTCCCTCTGCCATCCCCAGCCCCAGGGCAGGGTGATTCTCCTCCTCTGTCTCCTCATTTAGAACACCCGAGAGTGGAACAGTCATTTGGTGCAGGGGAGGGAGGTTAAACCACGTTTTGTGCAGCTGGCAGTGGCAATGAGGAGCCTGGCACCCTCCATCCCTTGTTAACCCAATAGATAGCACAGCCTAGCCACTAACTTTGATTTGTTTCACTTGAGCTGCTCTGCTTTCCTCAGAATGAAGCATAAATCCCCCTGACCTTGATGATTAGAGTCATATCTGCAAAGAAAAAAAACCAACAAAACACCAAAGAAGGGAGAAAAGTTGTATTTCCAGGTTTTTCTTCTCAAAGATAAACCTCAAAATCCTTAACAAACTTTGTTATTCAAATAATCTTCCATAGCTGGAGACCATTCAAAACAGAACATTCAAAACATTGAGAACAGTTGAAAAAAAGACTTAATGGAATACTATAACCCATACATGAACTTCTTTAAAAAAATACAAAACAAAAAACAAAAAAAAGCCTCCAATGCAATGAACCCTTAACACATAACCCAACATGACCTTCATCTACCCATGCTTTCTGCAATCTGCTATTTCAGTCAGTAGTGATGATGGATGGGGACAGAAGACAAAGGAAGATTAATTAAATGGGATGAAATGCAGAAAAGGAGAAGAATTTCTGAAGATTGTTTCCTCCCACCGTACAAATTCAACAAGTGTTTTCAAGTTTAGTTAAATTAAGCTGTAATTACCTTCTGTGGAATACTGGTGAGCAGACTGCTGCACAGCTGGAATAACACAGCAAGTGTAATTACTCACCACACCCCATTAAAAGAAAAAAAAAAAACCCAAAACAGTTTAGGTATTACTAAGCAGTATTTTAGCGGGGTTTTTAAGTATCTGTTACCTGATGGGTAAAAATCCTAAAGAAAACCGCTACAGCAGACAAGAACCTTACACCATCCAGCAGCTGCCTCTGTGTCCCTCCCGAAGCCGCACAGAGCACAGAGTGCATGCACACAGCCAGCTGCCCCCCAGCCCCAGGCAGCGGCTCCTCAGCACCAGGAAAGCTCCGGCTCCCCCAGAAGTGGCTGCCTGGCCCGAGGGCGGTGCAGAGGAGGCGCGGCCGGTCAGGGTCGCAGCGTCAGCTGTAGCGCTCGCCCTGGAAGCGCGGCGCGAAGTTCCGCACGCCCTCGTTCTCCTGCGTGGTGATCAAGTCTATGATCGCCGTCAGCACCGCTGTGTCCCTGCTCTGGATGTCGTCCCAGTCCACGGGATGGGGGCTTTCTATTTTCTCTTGTAGAAGGTCATCCAGTTCTTTTCGCAGTTTCTGGAAGTGTTGTGACAAAGGAAAAGAAGGAAAAAGGAAAGAGATGGGTGTTAGAGCTACACACAGCATCAACAGAGGTTCCAGTGCCTCGGGCCCCTGTTCTCCCAACCTTTACACCTGCTCTTCTCCCCTCACTTCATCTCCACACTGCTATTTTCACAATCAAACATCCTCTCAAAACCCAGTCTCTTTGATGAGAGGTGACCATCTCTGGAAGTGATGCCTCTAACAGCCCACCCAGCACTTAGCTAACTACCTCAGGATTAAAAAGACTGGTTTAAAATAAAAATAAAATTTAAAAAAAGAGTCCAGTCTGATTTTTGGGATCTAATATTAAACAGTTCTAGGGAACCCCTTCCTGTTAACTGAGGAGCCCCACTCTCCTGTTTCCACATCTGTGTGGATATCTCCTGTACTGACCAAATCATCCCACACTATCTGTGTAAAATTAAATCTCTTTTGCTTACTTTGCGTGCTAGAACTGCTTGCTGGGAGTGCATTTCTAACATCATCTCCCTGAGTGATAAATCAATAGGCCCACAGGAATATCAAATCCAGAGATCCCTAAGCAGAACCAGTGTTACACTGAGCCTTCCAGGTACATGATTTTGAAACAGTTACCTTGACCAAGTTTGCTATTTTTTCTGGAGACTGGAAAACAATCCACTCATCCACAGCGATGGTGTCCTGGTCCTTATCCTTCTGAATGGATATATCCCCTCCAAAGAACAAGAGGCAGTATGGAGACACCTCCGTACAATCATACAGGTAAATCTGCACAACAACAGAATTCTCTGATCACCCTCTAAACATCTCCAGTGCCATCAGTAATCCTTAATGAGACTCCTAAAGATTTCCAGGAGATTCTTACTCAGTTACTCACAAATTCTAAAGATATGCATGAAGCAACTCAGTTAAAAAAAAGTTACATGAAATCAGATTGCACAAGGGCAAAAATGGTCCCAAGTCTTTCACTCTTTCACACAGTGATGAAATGAAACCAGATGCTCCAAACAATGAGAGGAAAAAACATCAGCATGTTGAGAAGTGTTAAGACTGTATTGAAATTAAAAAAAAAAAAACACTAAAAGAATTTACACCTGTTACTGCCAGACCTTAAAAAATCCAAATCCTCAAAAAAAACCCCAGAACTAAACTGCAGAAGTTGATTATTTGTGGTACAATACCCCAGTATCACAAAGGAAATAATCTGATGGTGTGTACAAAGAATGGCCTAGGACAGGAAGGCCCCAGAACAAAGGCTGAACCCTGACCCACTCTCATTGAGAGGGGATAATAAAACAAATGAACCCCACAAGCACAGCTCTGACTCACACTGCTGGTCCTCATCTTCAAATGGTACACCAGCCAGTTATAATGGAACTCTGTCTCCTCCACATTCACTGATTTGGGATGGATATTGACTGATCCATCTGTCTTGGTGCAAACTTTCACCCTTCAAAGAAAAAACAACAAGTGATAAATCAACAGAGCAGGATCCGTGGGGTCTCTTTTCCCACAGAACCAGGAGTGGCAGTGTTTGAAGTGCTGCTGTAGAACCCCTTTAGAGCAGTGCTACTGAGAGGTTGTAACATTATGCATGGCTTGAGAAGGTCACACAAGTTAGTTCAGGTGTTAGCAGGAATCCAGATGTTAAGAAATCAACAATCCCACCCTTCTCAGAGGAAGGAATGCACAACCATGACTCCAACTCCAAAGTGAGATTCATTCGTGCCATTCACTCAAGCCACTGCTTCACCTTGCCAAATTATACCATGCAGAAAACACCCTGAATACAAACCAACTTTAAAGCAAACCCTCACATTTTTCTCTTTTTGCTGAAGCTGGGCCGGATCTTTGCCACTTTGGGGTAGAGGCCAGCA